CACGTGGAATACGAAGGAATTCTTTTTTTTCTTTTTTTNTTTTTTTTTTTTTTTAAATTCATTTTTTAAAGATTCTAATATATAAAACCTATACGATATATGTACCATGGTAGTAGTATGTTCCGACTGGCCAAAATCTTTTTACGACAGCCCGTCTCCGTTCTATCTTCATCGCATCTTATTATTACATCGCAAAAGCGAAATGCTTTCGAGAAATTTTGTCTTTTCTTTCTTTTTTTTTTTCTCTTTTCCTTTTTCAAATGGAATGTTACAACAAGATCCATCCGCTCAAATGTACATATTCGACTCTCTAAACGTGGAGAGTGGGAATAAATCGAAGAACAATTATGATTGTACACTTTGAGATTCACGTTCGATATCACATTCGAATAAGATACACGATATTATAACATTTGATTGGTAGGATTAAAAAGTTGAAACGCTTTTATCGATCTATACCATATATTCGTGACGACGAAGGCTCGAGTCGCGGCGACTAAAAATAAAGATCGAATTTATTAAACTACACGGAGTGGAAGACATCGAGCAAAAGGCACTTGCTTATATCGCTGGAATAATCGTTAACCGCGATAAGGCGCAATATATTATTATTGCTTTAACTACAATATAAACGTTACCATTATCATTATTGCTACTACTTATTACGATGATTATGGTCCCGCTGCGAGTGATACACGCGACTTTGGACACGTTTCGGGGGAGAGAAAGAGAAGAAAAAAAAAAAAAAAAAGAATTCGGTTCGCGAACCAAAGGATGGAATGCGCGTGTGGAATGTGAAAAATATCGATCGAAAGGGGAAATAATACGCGATGCTATCCCGTAATCGCTTTCTTTCTTCGTCGCTCGAAAACATTTTAACATTTAGACGACGTTGCGACAATCGAAGCTGTTTAATATATCATATACTCTCGTGGAATCGTAACGTCCGAACGAGAAGAGTTGAAGGATCGTCGCGGGAGGAGAGGAAAGGAAAAAAAAAAAAAAGAATTACAAAGAGGCGAATCAATGACACACGGGGAAAGAGAATGAGAAGAGGTCACTGATCGTTCTCGTTCTCGTCGTTGAAATAAAGCGAGACTATCGAGTGCTTTTTACAGAAAGCCCACCACCAACGGAAACCAGAGAGGCCGTTAAAGACAAAATTAGGGTCACGTTTTCGCCTCAACTTTTCGACAAAGTTGAGGATCGCGTTCAATGATTTTTTCGTTCGACGATTGTACGGGCTGACGCTGATGTCGCAGCAGAACTCGAGCACGGCCGTTTCCTCGCTCGAGTTCAACCCCGCCTCCTCGAGGACCATCATCCTCTTCGTCTTTCCGAGGATGTTGTCGTACAATGTGCCTTTCGGTATCCCGTATTTCGTGGACGCCTGGGTGAATCGCATCTTCTGAGTGACCACAGCCTCGATCGCCTCCTGGAGATCGTGCCGCGTCCACGTGGGCGCCTTCAGCTTCAGCAGGGTCGAATAGTCAGCTAGAAAATAGTCAGGGATTTCGTCTCGTTTTTTTCGTGATACCCTGTGGCTGCACCCAACCCAGAGATCGACCGATCTCTTGGAGGAGGTAGCTGGCCGACGGACACGAGATACAGCGTTATACATTTCTCGCCGCCTAGATATTACCGGAAATACCACCATCCCCTATCTTTTTTTTACCTCCACCCCCATCCCTTTGTCGTCTCTCTTTGCGCACCATTTCTCGCTCCTCTTTTCTTTTCTTTTCGTTCGAGAATTTCGTCGTCGGCCCCGATCACAACGAATTTATCCGATCCGCGAGCACAACATCAATCGCGCAACGAAAGGGTAAGGAAAAGAAAGGGAGACGGTGCGACAAAGCGGTGAAACGACGAGATCGCGAAACGAAGCGTTTCGCTATTATTTAACCAGAAGAAAAACGATGAAAAGTCGCGAGCAAGATTTTTATTTAACCGAATCCAGGAAGAAGAAGAAGAAGAGAATCGGGATGAATGAAATATATGATCTGCTGAAAACGTGATGAAATCACTCGAAGATACTAATGGCGAGCGGTGCTACTAAAAAAAAAAGACCCAAGAAGCGCATAAACGAGGAGATTAGGTCGGGATAAATAAGAGAAAAAAAAAAGGGAAGAATCGAAATGGGCGAGAAAGGCGATCGTTGAAAGCGGGCAACCCATCGTGAAGACCAAGTTGTGACGTTTGATCCTCGCTGCGTTTTGCGAGAAAAAGAGAGAAAGAGAAAAAAGGAAGATTCGAACGAGCGGTTAGGGCGAAGGGATACGAAGAACGCGAGTGGGAGAATTGGCTGCGAGTCGTGAACGTATTGGTCCCATTAACGGGTGGCCATTCGGTTTTCTATCTAAATTACTCTATAATATATATCAAAGTAACGGGCATATTTCTGCGCTTTATTATCAGAGATAACAATTCTGTGCCGCCTCTATCTCATTCGTGTATCATTCTCTTTCTCTTCACTCTAGTTCTTCGTATTCCTCGTACGTACAATTCTCCCTTTTCTTCGGCTCGATCTCTTCCATCGACATTGGTGTCCTCGTCGTCTCACCGATTTATACATTTTTCCAGCCCCGTTTCTTTCCTCCCTCTTCTTTCTCGATATATATATATATATTATTTATAATATATATACACATTTCCACCGATAAAGGCGGAACCTGTTATTCGTATTAACCTGAAGAGACACAAATTATATCGGCAAGAGGAGTAAAATGGCGATCGCGAGAAAAGTATCGTTATATGGACAATCGATCTTCTCTAATAATGTTAAGAGAGTAAGTAAGTTTCGAAGCGAAGAATCTCGAAGGAACGATGCGCAGCTTACGATCGTGTTACACATGTTATTCGTTTCCTGAAATGTGCTGCCGAGACAGCGAAGCACAGATTAGGTAGACGTGGAATGCGACGAACGACTTACCTGCTATACTCGATGTGGAGGCTCCGAGCCAAGCGTGGGATGACTCCAACAACTTGGCCTGAAACAAAAGGAAACGGATCTCGTTAGAAAATCTCGTTAGGCCGATTGAAATCACGGTGCCCAGACTGCGAGTGGCGAATCGCGGTGGGCCTCTCTCTTTTTTTTTTTTTTTCTTCTTTTACGCGACTCACACACGTAAGAGTAGAACCGCTTAACAAGGCTTACGTAACTGTTAATAGAAAGATAATTGATACTTTTGTATCTAATTGATCTCGAAATGAAGAAAAATTATTTGTGCATGGAACATTTATTAAAAAATCTTCTTTATTTAGAAACATAGAGATAAGTATATTTTTAACATATTTTTCATACCGTTCGAATTTTAAACGACTTCGAAGAAACAAAATGCTTATTTTACATTGTTATATTCATATTATCGGGTGTACAAATTAATAAATTGTTCCTTTTGTTCGAAGGAAAAAGCAATTTTTTTTTCGACTCTTTCGAGAATGTTTTAAATCGGTGATCGAGTAATGCTGGTGAGGCGAAGAAACAGATATGATAATCTAGACTCGAGATAACACGATATACGATCACTTCTTCGTCGCTCTTACGTCGTGTTATTAAACGTTGTCATGCAATAATACTGTCCGATCTGTGTTCGATTACCGTTTTTTTCTTTTTTTTTTCCCTCCTAAAGTTATATCATTATAACAGTAACACACGGTCAATCATAGATATCTTTACGATATTTTTTTTCTTTTTTTTCTTTCATCTCTGCGAAAGTGCAGAAACCAGACAACCAATCATACATACATACATATTTATACAATAACAGGTTTGATCAGATGGTGGATTAAAAGACGCGCTTCCTTCCAACGATCTCGAGAGAATCGACGAAGCGAAAGGGTTAAACGCATCCGAGATTGGGGAGAGGAGGGAGAGGGGAAAAAAGTCCATCGAGGTCGGAAGATGGTCTCTCGGCCGAGGGAGGGAGGCTTAGAACCGGAGGCTCGCGTCTCTGCCGACAACTTTACTAATATGCGAGTTTTTCCGAGTATAAAGGGGTTGCGAGACGCGGCAAAAGCGCAAGACACACGCAAAGTTGGCTCATTTGAAAAGTTTTCGTTCCATGGTGCGGCGCGACTCGCGATTTCCGCAATACAGGAGAGATCGGAGACCGTGCGCCGACGTTCCAGACCGACTTCTCATATATAACCGGAGGAGAATCGAGCGGAGCTTCCAGGAGCTGCACACCACTCGGCTGACTTTCCAAATTAATTTTTAAGGGTCGAAGGGCCCCCCCGCTCTGCTCTCCTCATTTGATGATACGCGCCTCGATCCTCTATCAAACCTCCCCCCGAGCCTCGCATCCCCATGGAATTTCGCGGTGCCTACGCTTCTTCTCGAGTCGAAAAATTGCCGCGAGGACGCTTATATACAGGGAGGTGGGGCACGCCGCGCGCGTCGCGCTTTAAAACTTTCCTCGCCGCCGCCCCCAACTCGGAGGAGGAGGAGGAGCTTTTTTTCCTCCGCATCCGGCATTCAGATCTCTTTTTCCCCACGAATTCAACCGCTCTCTTGTTTATCTTGGACGAAACGAAATCTCGTTCGCGTTAAAAGAAAGAAAGAAAAAAAAAGAAACACCGCCTTCGCCGCCTTCGTTTCGTTTTCGCGGTAAACGAACGCCGCGATGCGAAGCCGGAAATAACAATAAGGGTAATAACGTAACGAGGCAACAAAAGGAAAGATAGGACGGAACGATAAAGACTGCTGCTGCATTCTATTAAGAGAGAGAGAGAGAAAGAGAGATGAGTCCGATTGTCGAGACAATAATAATAATAATAATAATAATAATAATAATAATAATAATAATAATAATAATAATAATACTTATAATAATGGTAGGTGCGGCTGTGTAGCGAGTCGGAACCTTGAACGGGGAGAAGATAAGGCCTCCGTGATTCGTTCTACGTTCCTTCAAGATGACGGTGTCTAATTTATTCAATGCCGGTACACGCAGGCCAGCGTTAAACTCTGCCTTCTTCGTTCGTCGTCTCTGGTGGATTGTTACCAGGACGAGAATATATATATATATATATATATATACACACCGGTGTCTTCGTGAGGTTGGGATGTGTGTATGAATAATTCGAAGATTTTGATCGTGGAACGATATCGCGTGATTTGGTAATAAAGAAGCGGATGAGAGGAGGAGGAGGAAACCGCAACGCGGCGCGTGCACCGGCGCAACGTGAGACGCGCACGAGAGGGAAATCGAGTTCGCCACAGGTACAAGTTCATCGTACACACGTCGCATCCTGTCATGCGTGCATTTTTCATCGTCTCGTGCCGCGGTTGTCGCGGGGTGCGCCTCGAAGAATGCACGTCGCGGTGCACGCGACGCGCCACGCGCAACAACGCGCCTTCGCCGAACAACCGCCGCTGTATTAACAAGAAAATTGCTCATCGCATTCTTTCGACTTTTCTCCCTCCCCTCCCCAGACTCCCGCTCGCCTCGAATTCGAGCTCCGCGACTATTTTTCCAGGAGAATATTTCTTGTGCTCGCTCGAATGCACCGTATAATTTCGCTAAATGGATCGTACCTCGTGTACCTGTTTTATGAGAAATTTACTATTACTCGGTTTTTTGGTCGTGGAAAGATTGTTTCGAGCGGCTCGTTCCTTCGTGGAATTGTAAATTTATTATTATTACAGAGATATTCCATATTTTTTCTTATCCAGCGATTGTTGTTGTGGGATCGAGAAGAAGAGGGGAGAGACGATGTTATGTATTTTAGAAGAAGGCGTGAATGATGGACGATTGTTTGTCGAATTTTCGAATCGAGTTGCGGATGGAGGATGATAATATTATTTAATGACGAACGATAAAATTATTGATACAGCTTGAAGAATATAAAAAAAAACATTTACCAGCAAATTGCATAACAGTGTTACAATACTTGCACGAAGGTCATGTGATTTATGAACTGGAAATACGCTTTTGTACTCACGACATTATTTTTTTCCAACTCGATAGACACGTGTATATATCACTGCTGTAACGGTGGATTTCTCGAATATCGTCTTTGGTTTTCCATCAACTAAATCGAAAATTGGACGAAACTTTTTCGAATTTATCAAGAATTTCGAAGAAATATTGTATATTCCCTCCCCTCAACTAATCTACTACGTTGCTCGTTTAATTTTTGAAAAAGTTTTAAAAAATCGTCAAATCAATGGAAAGTCTGCTGGACAATAGAAGAAAAGAACAATAAATATAAAAATCTCTCTTTTCCTTCCTTTTTACCTATACCACACGAGTAACTAAATTCTTCCGTACTTATAACCGCTCTCTCCGATTCGAGGAGGCGCATGACCTTTCCTCCGATCCGAAACGATTAAAATTGAAAGCGAAAGATAAACGATTCCGACCCGAACTTGATATCCAACAAACCGTGACAAAAAGGTAACCGAACAGGTGCGGAACGGATTTTTAAAACTCTTTCAAACTGATGTAAAAGAGGAAATTACACGTCAGACGTTTCGAATTCTTCTTACTTTGTCTCTCGAGAGATTAAAAGATTCTCAACAATCGCGTAATAAATGTCTTGCGCGTTTCATTCACGAACGACTTCTCCCCCCAAATCCAAGGAGAGGGGGCCAACGATGATAAACAAAAGTTGGAACAGAAACGAGCACGAGCGGCCTAATTAAGAAAGGAACCTTCCCCTACCGGACAGGTGAGGTAAGGGGGACGACA